CACAAAAAAAAAAAAAACAGTAAGCAGCACAACTGCTTTCAACATTGGTATGAAATGTTTCCTCAATAATACTGTTTTTACTGTACCCCAGACTTCGAATGGTAATGTATACTTTCATGTCTAGGCTTATAGAGGCAGTTACCACCAGGCCAGATCCAGCTAGGTGTACAAGACAAAGAAACATAAGCCCGTCTTCACTGTTCATTATATTTAAATTGCAATTTTGCAATAAAATATTTTTTGTGATAATTATAGTGAGATTTTGACTGACATGACAACATTTTACTAGTGTACAAAACATGGAGGGAATAATCAGAATTAGGTTTGTATTCAAGTGGATGGAATGACTAAGCTAGACCAGACGTGATTCAACTTCTCTTTCCTGAGGGGGTTTCATTAGCTGGCCTGTGAGAGTCTTTTCAGATATGCCTGCCAGCCTGCTGTTCTGTATTCTTCTGCAGCTCTGAGCCGATCTGAGCTGGCAAGAATACCTCGTCCCACAATGATGATATCAGAGCCTTTAGTGCAGATCACATCTTCTGGACTTGAATACTGCTGTCCAAGTCCATCCCCTGGAGAATAAAAGATTAAGAAATTAAGCGCATGTATCAGATGTGTAAAAAAGAACAAATACTTTGTATTTAAATAGTTAAAATACAACATATTCTATTAGAATGCATTTTTGTGCTGTTGTAGCATCACCTTTCTCTGACAAGACTCCTTATTTTGTCATAAGATACGCAGAAAAGCTAATGCCAGCCCACAGTAAAACGTACCTCCTGTCAGCATTTGCACTCCTGGAGTCATGTGAACCAGACCAGGCTTTTCACTGATCTTTGATCCACTTATGAATCCAAACACAAAATCTGTATGGTCTTCAGCCATCTTGACCTAAAAGACATTTCAATCAACTCAAATGGAGAAACAAGAAGCTGAGCTCTGGTAGCTATCAAAGAACATTAGTGTTATGAAATAATAAACAAGTATTATCAGAGGTGAGAGCAGTGGTCATAAGTTTTTCACAGAGAGCAGAAGACGTACCACTGCTTGAGTGTAATCTCCTGTTGCTAGGGAACCCTGCGAGCTCATCTGAGCAATGAGCAAACAGCCGTGACCCAGAGGCTTGCCAACTGCACCGAGACCCTGCAGCACACCCGGACCTGGCAACGCATGGGCATTAATGATGTGCGCCCACGAAGAGATCCGATAGAGACCACCTTAAAATAAAAAAAAATGTGTCGATTATTTATATTAGGAATGCTTGTGCAGAAATTAAAATAACATTAAGAGAACTAATAAAACTTAAACTAAAATAAACCTTTCGTCATAATTTACTCACGCTTATGTCATTCCAGAACTGTATGACTGTATTTTTCCTGTGGAACACAAAGGAAGGATGGCTTCAGAAACTTTGAAATATATTTGTCTACTTTTACGGTGTTTTTTTTTTATTATTATTTTGTCAATTTTGGACACTATAAAATATGTTTGCATGGAGAACTGCTGCATGAAGATTATGCTTCAAAGAAAGTCATACAGGTTTTGAACGACATGAGGGTGAGTAAATGATGACAATTTTTATACAATCAAGCAGAAATAGCAAAGTTTATTAAAATGGCATTATAAATGGCACATTTATTAAAATGAGGCTTCAGCAAACCTTCAAAGGCACCTCAAAAAGATCTTACATTTATCATATATATACATATTAACACTGTTTTGTGTCTTTGAAGTCTCTTTAAATACACAAAACTCTTCAAAATAACTTTTTTGGAAAACCCTAATTATGAGGTAGCTTCATTTTAAAATGGTGATTTCCAGAACCACAAAAGTCATGTAAATGAATAAACTTTTATAACTTTATGGGATTTTTGTAATGAATATAAATTTTTCTAGTTATGCCAAGCTCTAAAATATTATTCTGGGTAAAAATATATATTTTAAAATCCTTATACAATGAATCATGAACAGCTAGAAAAGTCATGGCGTCTTTAAAAATTGTTGTGGACAATGAGGGGAATGTGTAACATCCAATTTAATAATTAGAAAATAAACCATGACATTATGTAAAATGTCTTTGCTCTATGGATATCTGGTGCAGACTGTAAGTGAAAGCAACATTTTAAGACTAGTAAGGAGCTCCATCACTGTGAAACAAACCTTCATACTGATGCTTGACTGTGCTTCCAATGTCTGCAAACTTGCGATCCTCAAAAATCAGGAAGTTGTGCTTTATAGCCAGCTCTTTCAGACTGCTGGCGACATCTGCAGTGAAGTCCTGCAGGATGTCCACATGAGTCTTCAACACGCAAATCAGTGGCCCCAATGCATCCGCAATCTCCAGCAGCTCCTCAGAACGAGTCACATCTGCAGACACACACAGATTGGTCTTCTTGTCCTCCGTGATCTTCAGCAGGCGCACAGCGAGAGGGTGAGTGTCTGGCAATGCAGCCCGAGCCCCATAGCTGAGCTCCTTACAGCTCTTTTTAGGAGCTGAGAAGTCATTCGTCTTCGATATGTAGGTGTTATTTTCTTGAATGAACCTCTCAACATTCTGAGAAGTGGCCGTGTCTATTCGACCAGCTTTAAGTAACACATCCAGAAGTCTGGAGACAGAAATGACTGAATGTAGAGTGATGCCACGGTCAGCTAGCCTGGCTCTGCCTCCCTGCTCTCTGTCCATTAACACGACGGCATCCGTGATCTTCAGACCTTCCTTCTCAAGCACCTCAGCGGTTTCTAGAACACTGCTGCCACTGGTCACGACATCCTCTACGATTAGACATCTGTCACCGGGGTGGATGGTTCCCTCGATGAGACGTTTCGTTCCTGGGGAATATCAAAATACAAATCAATACAGGTCAGTGTTATTTTAGTATCATTAAAGGGGTCATATGATGCGATTTCAAGTTTTCCTTTCTCTTTGGAGTGTTACAAGCTGATTGTGCATAGATAAGATCCCTGAAGTTGCAAAGACTAAAGTCTCAAAACCAAAGAGATATTCTTTATCAAAGTTAAGACTCTGCCACGCCCCCCTAAAACGGCTCGTTCTAACACACCCCACATATCTACGAAAACGAAGCGTTTGAGAGAGGCGGGGCATAGAGGACCTACAATAATGTACAGTATTTGAAAAATAATGTGTTTTTTGAACATTAAAGCATGTCAACATATTCTGTTACACCAAATACACAAAATAATGATCTTTAAAAAAAGCATCATATGACCCCTTTAAGATACTATTATAGCATTTATTAATGTTTGAATTTATTTTTATATTTTCCATTTTAATTTTAGTAATTGTGTTTTTAAAGAAGTCTCTATAGTTTTTAGTAATTTTTATTTCAGTTTTAGATATTTTAGTACATTTAGTTAAACTAAATGAAAATCAGAAATGTCATGTTTGCAACAAGCTAAATAAGTTTTTTATATACATATTGTCAATGTTTATTAGCAATTGTGTTTGTCATTGTTATAAGTTGTCTCCTTAAAGAAAATAATAAGTCTGTACAGTTTTTAGTAATTTTTGTTTCAGTTTTAGATATTAGTACATAAAAGTTAAACAAAATGAAAAATGTTGCCTTTGTAACTACCTGAAATGTTCACGTTTTTTTCCCACTCTAATTTAAAATTTAATTAAAGTTTTAGTAGTGTTTCTCTCTCTCTTATTTTAATGTCTATTCAGATTTTAGTCATTTTTATTTCAGTTTAGTCATTTTAGGACATCAAGCTAAAGTAAAGGAATGTTGCTTTTGCAACTAGCTTAAATAAAATAAATTTAGGTTTTTAAAATGTATTTCAGTTAATGTTTATTTTATTTCAAGAAATGAAAACTGTATGGTTTTAAGTGACTATAATAATACAGATTCACACTGCAAATCACACTACGAAATATGTAAATAAACTATTTGTAAATCCAAATGATGAACAAAGACATAAATATATGGGCAGTTTAATCGCATGACATTCCATTTTGTCGATGAGAAAGTGTCCAAATCGATTTTGTATTCATTTTGAATATCAAATCTAACACTATATAAATAGCCTAACAAGATTTTTTTGTGAACTGTTTTTACAGTTGTGCCCTCTTTTTGCACAAATACTGCTTGGTTTGAAATGTTGCTACCTAGCACAGTTTTTAAATGTGTCTTAAATGTCCAAATACCAAATACAAAGGGATGGAGGGGTCGATAATACAATAAATCGATTACTGATAGTTAAATAGTCAGTTAAATTTGCATTATTTTACCGTAGTCCTTTGCCTCCTTTCGTCGAATAAGCATGGGATATTGTTTGGTAGAGCAGATGATGGTGGCCAGAGGAAGAGCTGTGTAAGGGACACCACACACACTATCAAACTCAACTCCTGCATCCTCAGCACGCTTATGAAGAAGATTTGCCACCTGATCACACACACACACACAAAAATACCATGATATTAACATATGATCAACAAATGAGATTAATCTAAAGGAGCATTTTTCACTTCTTGAGACTTGTTTTATAAAATAGTTTTGGTAGGAAAACGCTCAGGATATGTTACACACTTTTGGCATAACAGTACAGAATGATTACTCAAAGTGAGCACGTGTTTACCTGGTTCATCAACGCTGGATGGGAAACTATTACTCTAAGATCAAAATATATCGGCGAAGTGAGTCCACTTTTTAGCTTAAAAGTCCCAAACTTGACTGCTTGGATGTCGTGCAGATTCAGGATTAAACTATCCAGACTAACGTTAGTGTCATCCATTTCGATTTGAGCAGCCATGTTTCACTAACTAGGGTAAAGTGCGGGTAACGTTAGTGATTTCTTCCCTTGCTCGGATCATTCCCAAACCACAGTGACGGCGAGTCGATGCGCACACACGTGATAGACTGGATGAAATCACTTGACAAAATAAAAGCTTCAGTAGCCCTGTGTGGACTTAAAAACAAAACTATTTTAAAACGGATTTTACAGTAGTTTATTTAATCTGACTCCTTGCTAATGCTTACTGCATAGCTAGCATTTTAAATATCCTTAATACAAACAATAAAATAATAGACACACGGTTTGCACAAATGTGACAAAATTCCAGCCTGACTGGAAATTTTGTTCACAAGTATATTGACTTCTCATATTTCATCTCAAGCTCTTCAACATGACATTATTGTCGTTTTGGTAACACTAAGTTTCATAAAACTTTATTAAGTGGAAGAACGTTTGTTATGGTTGAAATGACACAACAACTATGGGACTGTGCTTTTTTAAAAGACAAAAATCACGTTCACACAACAATAACTGAGATGCTTTAAGTATTATTTATTTAGATCAATCTATACAGCCATCTGAAAAGTAGCAAAAAATGACCACGTTTTCATCTGTTAAAAATGAGATGAATAGATGGCCCGCTATAGACTTTTATTTTGAAAACAAGTTGCCTGTAACGAGTACCTATAAAAATATCACAAATAAAAAGTTTAAATAAAACAAAACAAACGATTACGTCTGTTTTAAAAAGTGGTTTGAAACGGTGATCAGCACTTCAAGATCTGCCCTCTGCTGTCTCAAAAAATTTTGCTTTAATCACGTGATTCCAGTAACGTTATAAGGTTTCTTATCAAGGCTTGTTCCTATGAAGGTCTGTCATCTGTGGAATAATCAGAGCGATATACTGTCTGACCAAAGGTTGTGTATTGGAGATTACGACCAAACTGATTTGAGAGTGTGCTGTCAGCAGAAAGAAGCGCTGGTCATGTGCTGAGCTGACATCTGATCCACTTCTACATTTCTGAGGCAGAATCATGAAGAGAAGACTTCTGCTGGTATCTAACTCCACTCTTCATGGAGGAGGATATCTTCAACACTGTCAGCAGCAGATCCAAGACTTTTTTGGAAAGTAAGTTGCCAGCAATTTAACTAGAATGTAGGCATTACACTTTTGGTAAAACTGTTCTAAGAATAGTTTTGCAATTACAGCCATAAACCCTTTATATACTAATATTCTGATACAAAATAAAGGGTTATATTCTGGGTATATTCTGATAATAATATTATATCTGTATGCAGGCATGTCACTGGATAAGTAAAGCAAAGTACAAGTCCATTCATTGAACTTAAACACCGGTTATGACAAGTGCATATACGCGTATTAAGACACACTTTTGTGTTTTTGTAATCATCAAATTAATCTGACCTGCATTGACCCCGGTTATAAGTGCGCATAACTTTATGTTTTCTGTTCAACAGGAATGTAAAGAGGATCCTGTTTGTCCCATATGCACTGCATGATCGAGATGCCTATAGCAAGACTGCCAGAGACAAGTTCAAGACATTGGGTTTGTGTCTTGTTGATTTTACCACATGTATGTTAAGCACACAGTCACTGCCACATTGGCCTTCATCTCTTCTTTTCTCTTTTTCCAGGCTATGAGGTGGACAGTGTCCACGAGACACCAGACCCTGTGGATGCTGTTAGGAAAGCTGAAGGAATATTCATTGGTATGAAGGATTTTTAATAAATATACTGCTATACGAAAATATACATTTTCTTACAATTATCAGCATACGTATATATTTAATATAATACTAATATTATAATATTTACTACTAAACTAAACTAATATTTAATAGTAAAAAGAATTCAATTCAAATTTTTTTTTTGTTTGTTTTGTTTTAAATATACGATTTATATTTATCTCAGTATTTGGTTTGTTCCCCCTTTTTGGGTTCACAAATTCAATGTAATCACCCAGAAATAGTGCAGTATCTTTGTCACAGTGTTTATTTATATACATTTTTCAAAATCCTTAAGCTTTAACCCTCTAATGTATGGTGACCATTACAGAGATGTAGCTCTCTCAGGATGAATTATTTGGAATTATTATTTGCATATTATTATATGTGTAATCATGATGTTCTTGTTTTGAAGTAATAAAAAATGAACAACATTAAGTTATTGTTCTCTAAAACTAAACTATTGAAAATAGTTGTTCTTAACTGACAAAGATAAAATAAAATATAAATACTAAATACTAGATTTTAAAAAATAAATATTGCCTCTGCGACTAATTGAAATATAAGTTCTAAAATGATTAAACTGAAATAAATTAAATCTCTCTCTTCATATATATATATATATATATACAGTGGGTACGGAAAGTATTCAGACCCCCTTAAATTTTTCACTCTTTGTTATATTGCAGCCATTTGCTAAAATCATTTAAGTTAATTTTTTTTCCTCATTAATGTACACACAGCACCCCATATTGACAGAAAAACACAGAATTGTTGACATCTTTGCAGATTTATTAAAAAAGAAAAACTGAAAAATGCTCAGTATTTAGTAGAAGCACCCTTTTGATCTAATACAGCCATGAGTCTTTTTGGGAAAGATCCAACAAGTTTTTCACACCTGGATTTGGCGATCCTCTGCCATTCCTCCTTGCAGATCCTCTCCAGTTCTGTCAGGTTGGATGGTAAACGTTGGTGGACACTGCAAAAATGTCAACAATTCTGTGTTTTTCTGTCAATATGGGGTGCTGTGTGTACATTAATGAGGAAAAAAAATTAACTTAAATGATTTTAGCAAATGGCTGCAATATAACAAAGAGTGAAAAATTTAAGGGGGTCTGAATACTTTCCGTACCCACTGTATATAGTGCTGTCAAATGATTAATCGCGATTAACCGCATTCAAAATAAAGGTTTTTGATTACAAAGTATGTGTGTGTACTGTGTATATTTTAGGGGTGCTCCGATTGATCGGCTACCGATCACTATCGGGGATCACAGCGCGCTCTCTCTCTTTCTCTCTCAAAATACGCAAATGGCTTCAAATCACCACACGTCTGTATAAGTGAGCTGCAGGCTGCACAGTTGACACAGGAATTGTCACTTGCACAACCGAGGCAGTGTCACATCGTCACTAAAGTTTATAAATTGCATTACTTTTTAATTCTTGCCAGTGTTTAACCATTCAGCGCTCGCGCGCTCTCCTGTAGACCGTGCAGTCATGCACACTCGCAGCGCACACACAATGCCAGGTTCACATTACTGTTTGCAGTGCGTAGTATGTGGTGCATATTTTTTCCGCGCTCATGTTAACGGATTAAAGCGTTCACTGCACACGGTTG